CAAACCTGCGATCAATGTAAACATTCAAGAGTAATGTTTAAATGTTACAGGAATTGAAAATTAAATGTCAAAGAGAAAATAAACAAAATAGTCAACCAATCTTTTCACTGCTTCCTTTTCAAGATTAAAAGAAAGGAGAACTTTGCGTTTTTGGGGTTTTTTTTATATTTAAGCCATTTCCGTCTTCAAAGTAAGTTTCTTCCTCGTGGATTTTATGTAAAACTAATTCCTTTTGAATGAATTATCTCTATTCCAAACTACAGCGTTCTAAAACAATTTTCGTGCGAGATATTCAGAAAAAAAGTTTTACAGTTTTTTTTTTATCACTCTGTATTGTAATAATGATAATAACAATAAAACCAATTGCATATATATATAGCGCGTACTTACGTTCTACCACATGCTCTATGCGCTTTACAACTATAAACACCCCAGCAGACCCTAAAATACTTTGAACGTCTTCGGCTTCCCTGGAAGGATACTGAGCAAGCTGTCAGTTGCACGTGCTCAAACATAAACAAAATGACAAGATCTTTCACTGTCAATGGCAGAGCACCCACTCCAATCTGTCTGAAGTGAGAAAAATTTTGTGTTAATTGTTTTTCCAAACAAAACAATTTCGGGTCATTGACGCGATTCGAGCCCACGACTTTATGGCTGCCCGAAAAACTGAGTAGTCTGCACTATCTATCAAACAAAAGGAACATAACTTCTGCCTTGAAAAATCTTCTTGTAATAGTCCCTCAAATCGAGAACTAGTTAATTATCCTTGACCTTCTGATAATAATACAATCATACCATTGGTTCTGGAGGACTTATTGGAAGGTTCATAGAGATCCCACGGTTGCTGGCTTTCTTCACATACAGCGGGCCACTTTTTGTTGAGAATTCCAACTGTTCATTATCATTTCCTGTACAAGATATAGTCAGTTATATTCTCTTAATGCTACAGTTTTACAGTGTTGTAATCATAATTCCAAAGAAACCAACAACGCTACAAAGACAAGAAATGAACTTGTTCTAACATTCTTATAATACCAAATATTTCAACTGTTCACTTGACCAATTTTTCAACATTACTGGGTTTAACTTAGGTATAACGACAAGATATTAATTGGAACACTGAAACATAAAAACGTGTATAAACATATACATATATAATAAATATGAAAATGAGTTCTGATTTATGCAATCTCTTAACCTTACATGTAACAGAAATTATATCCATGACATGAAATATATCAATTTATTCAGCCATTCTATCTTCACTATGTCATTAGCCCAGCACAACACACAACATACCTAAAGTGTAGAAAAGAACAGCGGAAGCTGCCATAGTGCCGTGACCACAAAGATCAACTTCTTTTAGACGGGTACACCAACGCAGTCCAAACTGGGAACCTAAACCAAAATACATGCGTTACGTTCTTGGGGAAAGTGAAAACACCACCAACAAGACGTAACTATTATGAGACTATTATGTTGTTGATCTAGTAACTCGGACTTATTGTGTCGCAGAGATTTCTTAAAGAGAGTGTGTATGTCAGTCATTGTAAAGAATGCGTATCACACACACACACACACACACACACACACACACACACACACACACACACACTCTCTCTCTCTCTCACACACACACACACACACACACACACACACTCTCTCTCTCTCTCTCTCTCACACACACACACACACACACACACACACACTCTCTCTCTTTCTCTCTCTCTCTCACACACACACACACACAAACACACACACACACACACACACACACACACACACACACATGTTTGGCCTTTGTGCATCTTGACTGACAATTTCCTTAGATATTGACTTCCTTGATGTGTTAAAAAGGAGGGGTTTGGTCAATACATATGGAATCAATAAATGTTTAGAGAGTGTCTTACTTTTACAAATGTCTTATTAAAATGGTTGGGAATATCTTGTTTTCTTAATTTAGATTTTTGCCCAGTTGCGGCCTTAGGGCCTACTTTAACTCTTCTGAGATGTTCAACCACCACAGGATGTTTAACGTGCGCAACGTGCACTCACGCTCTTTGAGATCTTTTGTCTTTATACGAGAAGGCTAAAGGGTGGATCTGAATGCTTTGAAATCTAATTTTTAATGTACGTGTTTTTACATCCCCCACCGACACAATTTAGATTATTTAGGGGGCAGGCTTCCGATCCTGTCTGTCAGGGCCAACCCAGGCTGAGAGGGATACAACATCCCAGCAGAAAGACAGAGATACTTGATAGAAATTTTCTCCCCTCTAGAGGATCAAACGTGGATCTTTAGCCTGCGTCAGCGAAGCACCCAACTACTGCACCACAGATACAGGTCTTAAACATCTGAGTTGTGGTGGGAGAAGGAGATTGAGTGAGAGAGAGACATTTTGTTTTGCTGCAGAGGAAGTGAGAAGAGGAAGAGGGGAGTACAATGAGGAAAATATAAAAGCCGCAGAGGAAAGAACATTTGAAGTGCCGGTACGGTACTGAGGAAAACAAACTCAGTACCTTTGGCATGAGCGGCTCGCACTGTACTTCTTGGCCACATTTCCTCCAGACATGCATAACATAAATCATATTTGTAGTCATTATATAGTATGATAATTACATATCACTCAAAACAAACAAACAAACAAACAAACAAACAAACAAACAAACAAACAAACAAACAAACAAACCCCCTCAACCCCCACCCCCCCACAAAAAGATGAACAACTCCCCAAACAAACACAACAAAACAAAAAAAAAAACAACAACCAACAAACCACACGTACGCAAAACAGATTATTAAAAACAAAAAAACGACCAGAAAAGAAAATAAGGCCCACTACCGATATTAGGTCAACGTAACATTGACACCCCACCCCCCAAAAAAAAAGAATTACCTGTTGTAAAGTCATTGTTCTCTGACACAACAAATGCCGTATTTGGTTGATTCAGCTCGGCCGCTATCATCACAAAGTCATTATCATTAAGCTTCTTCGCCTGAAGATATTCAAAAATAAATCTTAACATACCAACGTACTGTCACAAAGACGATTAAACGATCAGTATAATTTGCTGTACTTAACACCCAATCAAATGAAACACAATATATTGCTTACACTTTGTTATTACGAATTTACAATGCATCACGTTGAAAAAAATGCTATAATGTCCTATCAATGAAACCACAGAATATTTCAGTAAAAGAATATAGTTTTGATAGGAGTAATTACCAAATTTCCAAAGCACATGTAGAGAGATTAATATAGAGTTATTTCTAAATGATTCACAAATTGAAGGAATTACAGTGGCAATGTAATATTGTTATTAATACATTGTAAGTAGTATAATAAGTATGTACAGCTGTGAATGCGGGGCGATTATCAATAGTGAGAATAAATTAGAAAGCAAAAGTAATTTGGTTTATAAGGAGACTTCCATGAATTCCATAGACAGAACATAAAAAAAACAACAATAAAACTAGGAAGGGTTAAAAGAAGCCCACGTGGGCATCTCAATAATAAGTACAATTAGGAAGCGACACATAATATGTAATTTCTCGGACAATATTGATTTAACATAAAGATTTTAAACATCTTGCTCTCATTGGAAACAATAGAAGGCAAACGAGGCAGTGGTGGACCCAGAGAAACGTATCTGGAAAACCGGAACAGGTGGGTCGCGAGGAAGTACCGGGATAATACAGGATTTTTTAGAGCATCCGAGAAGAGAAATGAACGGAGAACCATGATCGCCAAAGTCTATTTTAGACTGGTACTATGTGATTTAATCAACAGGTAGTTCTTGTACAGGCTGTCTCTTATTCTTTCCTGTGTTTGGCAAATTTGGTAAAATGTTATACTGTCCTGATGACAAAACCAGTATATTATTATGTAATGTGCAAACAGGCCAATAAATTACTAATAGCTGTGCGTACAGAGGCACAGAATACAGTGAATAAAAGCAGATTAGGAGAGGAGTGAGGCAAGGATGTGTTATGTCACCAGACCTCTTTAACATGTACAATGAAACAATCCTTAGAAATATAAACGAATGTCCAGGTCTCAAAGTAAATGGAGAAAATATTAATAACATCAAGTATGCAGATGACACAGTTTTAATAGCAGGCTCAGAAAAGGACCTTCAATTGCTTCTAGATACTGTTGTAACAGAAAGTGAACGTAAATGATTAGTGGAGAATGTAAAGAAAACAGAATGCATGGTAATATAAACCCCCCCCCATCAAATCCTAGTTGTAATCTCATTAGCAAAGGTGAAAAGATCAAACAAGTCCAACAGTTTAAATATCAATGATATGTGCTAACATCCAATTTCAAATGTTCCACAGAAATAAAATGGAGAGTTACAATGGCTAAGGCTAGTTTCACTAAAATGAGCCCAATCCTGAAAAATATGAACATCTCAATGACCACCAAATTGAAAGTTCTGAAATTCTATGCATGGTCAACCCTTCTATGTGGCTGTGAATGCTGGACAATCACTAAAGACTGTGAAAATAAAATAGAAGCAACAGAAATGTGGTTTCTTAAGAGACTGCTAAAAGTATCGTGGAAGGAAAAGAAATCAAATGGGGTAGTGCTTGGTGAAGCCCACGTGGGACGCTCAATGTTAAAAACAATTAGGAAACGACAAATGCAGTTTTTGGGACACCTGAATAGACATAAGGGTCTATCTTGCTCTCACTGGCAAACATTGAAGGCAAACGAGGCAGGGGTAGGCCCAGAACAATCTTCATGGGGAACCTAAACAAATGGGTAACAGGGAAAGATTGGGGAAACGTAGCTTTTATTAGAGCATCGAGCAAAGGAATGAATGGAGAACCATGATCGCCCATGTCTGTCACAGATCTAGCACTGAATGATGATGGCAGAAGCACACAAGGATGTTATTATAGCAAAAAGGAAGAAGGTGTGTATCAATGAACTGTGATAATATAAAAGTAAAGGGTCTATTATGCCCATTACACTATCCGCGGCCGACCGGCGGTCTTCTACGCTTGCGGCCGCTCATTATACACATTTCATTTGTAAAAAAAAAAAAAAAAAGCAAAAACTACATCCTTTCGGGGAAAAAAGTATCGCATTTAGAACCAGCATGTCAAATAATGAACAAACGGACTTGAAAGTGACTATTTTTTTCCTTTCTGGTTTGAACATCACAAAAAGTATTTTCACCAAGATTGCATTAAGTCCGATTTTCTTATCACAAAGAGGACGGACTAGCTGTCAGTTTTAACAGAATGTGTAATAGGCCTCTAAGAAAGGGAAAAAACCCCATTAATGAAATACAGTCCAATTCACTTGTGTATCGTTCTTGCCCCACATGGTGGCGTTGGTAGCCATGCGGCAAGGCTACTAAGACTGCAAGGTGCTCTCGTGGTCTAGATGTAACAGTGTTCGTCTCTCAATCAATTATAGGTTCCGGGTTCGGAACCTGACAGCGACAGAACATTTTCTTCTCTAAATTTTTCTCCTTTCATCCCTTATCCTGTTCTCTAACCATGTTCTGTCGTCAGCTTTTGTCTTAAATTTTCTCCATCCGACCCCACCTCCTTTGCCCCCACCTCTGGGCTCCGGATTCTTTGCAGCCATTCTACTGCTACTACTTGGCTCATTCTCACTGCTGTCTTTCAGCCACACATCTGATCTTAGGGTAGGTAATATCCACCACCTAGCCTTTTCGGATATGGACAAAAATTCTCAAAGGTCTCATGTGCAAGCTGCGCACATTAAAGATCCTTTGGTAGTCCAACATCGATTTGAGTAGGGCTTCGGCCGCCACCCTGGCAAAATTGAAATTATTTCCTACCAAACTGAAAAATATGTTTAATGCATCACGCGCGCTCAAATGACCATAATATGCAGTTGCGAGCGCAGTAAAACACTTACAAAAACCAAACAAAAACGAAAGCAAGATCAGGGGTTCTAGGCTCAGCTCAGTCCTACGCTGTCTTTGGAGAAGACAGTTGTTAACACGAATCTGGCTCCGTCTTATCAAAGATAGACGGTGAATTCGGAGGTCTCTTCTCTTAAAGAACGTTATTTGTGTAGATCTAGCAATGGGCATAGAAGCGGCAGAATCTCGCACTTTCTTATAGCTCTACTTACTACCCTCAGCCGATGAGGCATTCACTCTCTCATCGGCGACTGTGGTGTAGCAGTTAGGCACTTCCCTGTCGCACACAGGAGACCAGAGTTTGATTCCCAAGTGCGGAGAAAAATTGGATCGAGTATCTCGGTATTTCTGCTGGGATGTTGTATTCCTCTCGGGTTGGTCTTGATTGACATGATCGAAAGCCCGCCTCCTAAATTATTTAAATTGTGGGGATGGGGTGGACTCCCAGCCGTATGGTATGGTTCGAATTCCATCAAGGACCCGACTCTGTGTCATTGAGAGATACCTTTTACACGAATTGTCCACACATTACCCAGATGCGAAAGGGTACCCGTCTATAGACAGCGAAAGATCTTGTCAGTTTGTTAGTGTTTGAGTACGTGCAACCCGCAGCTAGCATTGTATGCGTCCCGGGAAGTCGAGAACGTAACAGAGTATTCCAGGGTTTGATTGGGATAAATAACACTACATGTCGTTATAAAGCACATAGAGCATGCAGCATGCAGTAGAGAGCGGATATGTGTTTTATAATAAATTCATTAAAAAAACACCTAATTACGGTTATGGTTAGGGTTATGGTGATGATGATAATGATGATGATGATGGTGATGACGATTATTATTATCAGGGGTGGCTCGCCCATAGAGCTGCAGGGTCGTGCACTGCCGCCCAAACTTTTTTATGCGCACAACACACACAAAGAGACAATAAAAGAACCTCTAACATCCACTATCCAATCAATTTTTCATGCAAGTTCCTCGCTACAGCTTAATCAGTCATTGGAGTATCTGTAGCACTCTGCAACATCTACAATGCCATTTTGTCATATCCGACCATATCAAGTTCTCGTGCTTCACCCAAGTAATAAACGACATGTTTAGTGGTGGTACAGTAATTTAACTCGTAAAATGCTCTATGGGCTGACCGAAATAACGATGATGTTTAGAGCACGTTTCGTAGTACATAAAATATTAATAAGGTGGCACAAGGACCTACTTGCAAATTTGGCTAACATTTTCCTAGGATATCTGTGCTGCGCGTGGGGTGGTTTTGCCCCTTTGGGAGGCACTGCAGTACGCATTGTTCACCCATTAAAACTTTCAGAGCAAAAAACAAAATTGAAACATTCCTTGCGGTCTTTTTTTTCCGATAAAAAAAAATCAGGTCTGTCTGTCAAGGTGGTCCTTAGCTTATGTTGAAATCTGTAGTTCACGATAGCCTACACAGTTCAATGCCCGTATTATGACAGCTTCGAAGCAATTCATCGGAGTGCTCACAGCGAAGTGCGATTGGTCCATTGTCTTGCCATTTATAATACCTAGCACCACCTCAGTAACCCTGAACTTAAGCGAGGTCAACATGACGTAATTAGGTCGCTGTGTTAGAAGAGCCTTACCTGGAATGGTGTAGCGGTGAAACTTTTATTACTTGAGAGTGTAATTCCAATGCAGGAAGAATGAAGTTGATTTTTTGTTTGCAAATAAATTCAGTTCTCGAAACCAGAGTGACAAGAAGAGAGTGAAAGCACTAGGTCCTCACCAACACAAAGATATCGGAATAATTCAACCAACAAAAAAGTGCAATGGCGTTTGTAAGACGGATATTTTCGAAACAGTGGAATGGCTTACAGTCAGCGTTAGCAAACACTCATTGTACTTTTTCTACTGTCTGCTTTTAGAAACTGGGGACGTCAGTTATAGTAGTCTAAGACAGGTTTTTACTGACCATGTCCTTGTGAAACAACGCATTAAGAAACATGAGTCATCAAGAGCGCACGTTATCAATGCCATTAAATGTCACTCTTTTGTACCAGTAGACATAGCAGCGCAGCTAGACGTTGGTCTTCACATTGCAACATCTCACTATAGCCCAGATTAACGAACAGATGAGAAAGAACAGGCACGTATTGTGTAAGGTTATCGAGGGTATTTTGTTCTATGGAACTCACGAACTCGCCCTTCATGGTCATGAAAAAGGTGATTTGTTGTGGAACAGAGGTATCTTTTTTTATTTACTGCACAGACGTTATCACAGACAGGGTACTGTCTGATCATTTGCAAAACGCTACTGTTGCAAAATATACTTCTAAAATAATGCAATACGAATTACTGGACTGTATTATTGCTGCAAAAGAGGCATGCGGCTTAACAGTTAATCAGTTTTTTTAAACCGTTTCTTGAAGCAAAATAAAATCAATACACTATCAATCGTCGACCCCTCTGAATTTCAAGATTGTCAGAAGTTGTTTCCTACATTTCTTTTGGTTCGTATACCAGAAAACTACTCTATTTTGCATTCAAGTTACTAGCAGAATTAAAAATACTAGATCTATATTGCAATGAAACATTTTAAGTCTGCTCAGTATCGTACAACCCAGGGCCTTATTCAACTCTGTAGGACTGCAAACTCGACACAACATTTAGCGAAGTATGCAAAATCCTAGAAATTGCACTGACATTTATGTCGATCCAGAAGGACATCAGTGAGAGCATCCCCAACGTCGTCATCAGAATAATGAATACCTTTGCTGCAGCAAAAGAACTAGGGGTAGACTTGTTTTTTTCCAGTAGATTCTCTCCTAACAGGTAGAGTGAAGAATACATGTCATTTACCATGACCTTGATTATCTTCAACCTGCTTTAAGTAAATTGTGCTTTTAAACCCATGAGCCGCCCCTGATTAAGATTATGATTATGATTATGATGATGATGATTATTATTACTAAAATACCTACTTAAAAAAACAACTTAATTCTCACCTCGTATTTTGTCATAAGACACACTGCTGCAGGATTTCCAAGGAAAATCTTGTCCGTGAACGCATCCACCAGGTATGTGTCGATACCCAGATTTGCATTCTTACTTTCAACTCCTGACATTTTCTTAACTGTAATTACTTTTCTCAGATAAGAAGTCATAAAATGCTCGTACAAAAACACATCTACTACAACCGCACGTCTACTCGTAGGTGATCCAGTCTCCCACTCTGCTTTCCTTTCAATAAAACATATACAGACATAAAAAACCTCACTGCGCAAAAGCGAGGACAAGAAACAGTATGATAACGGCGATTTTGAAACTGCGTACACAATGGCAGCATATTTTTAAATAGGTCTTCATAGGTCAAGGTGGTGCGGCTTTAGTGTGTCCTTGGTGTGTAGAGAAGAAAGGATGATATAAATAACCAACCTTGTTGGTCACGAGAAGAACGCGGGACGGGCAGTCTGGTGGTTGTGGGTTCAATGATCGCTTGACGATCGAATGTGTGCGAAAGAGACTCTAGATCTATATTTAATGTATATATTATAAACCTTTTAATACGTGTATTATTACTACTGCTACACTGAAGCACTGAAGCCTGTGTGTGTGTG